GTGGTTCGAAACGCGACGTCGCCGATCCTGAGCTTGAGAAACGACAAAGGTCTTCTTCTAGTGGTTCTAATTGGTTCAGAGGTGGTGGCGGTAGTGGTTCGAAACGCGACGTCGCCGATCCTGAGCTTGAGAAACGACAAAGATCCTCCTCTAGTAGTTCTAATTGGTTCCGAGGTGGTGGTGGTAGTGGTTCGAAACGCGACGTCGCCGATCCTGAGCTTGAGAAACGACAAAGGTCTTCTTCTAGTGGTTCTAATTGGTTCCGAGGTGGTGGCGGTAGTGGTTCGAAACGCGATGTTACCGACCCTGAACTTGAAAAACGACAAAGGTCTTCCTCTAGTGGTTCTAATTGGTTCCGAGGTGGTGGCGGTAGTGGTTCGAAACGTGATGTTACCGACCCTGAACTTGAAAAACGACAAAGGTCTTCTTCTAGTAGTTCTAATTGGTTCCGAGGGGGTGGCGGTAGTGGTTCAAAGCGTGATGTCACTGGCCTTGAATCTGAGTAAAAGTCATCCGGGGTTTTAAACTTTATCATAGAACTTTTGCTTTACATACATAATGATAAACTAAATCATAATTTATTGGTTCAAATAAAGATATTTCTACTTTATATGTATTTAATATGTAATCTCATTCTTATATTTTGTGACAATTCATCATTTTCCAGACAAATAAATAATGAACATCTATTTCAGGTCTTATTTAACATAATGAAAAAAAAAATATTTTTTTCGTATTTAAGTAGTCAAAATCGCAACGGTCTATTAAGTTAGTAGCAAATAGTGGATCTTGCGCACTGCGTTATATAAATGCGAATAATGAACAATAAAAAGCACAAGTGATCTAAAATAAGATCTTATTCGAGCTCTATTTACTAATATTAATAACACCTGAGTTGAATTTTATAAATAAATAAATTTTGTTTGAAGCAAACAATAATTTTTAAGTACGATAGACAGTGTGTCTAAAAAGTTTTTGTCGCTTCCGATCAGATGATTGTAACTTGCTGTTTAAGGTAGCTTGGGAACTTCAGATATCTTTTTCTCTTTTGTCGCATGTTGAACCAATTTCCTCGATGTTCGATAAACTAAGTCAAAAATGACCGTTCGCAAAGATACGCATGCCAAAACCATATTGCACTTATGGAATAATGGGATACGAAACGCTAAAGAAATACAACAAAGAACAAGTCTTCCTAGGTCTACCATATATTTTAATCTCAAAAAAATAGAAAAATATGGAAACGTAGCTCACCAGAAACGAAGCGGTCGGCCCAAAAAAATAGATTTCGAAACTTCGGTTGCTCTGGAACAATTTATAAGAAGAAACCCCTCGATATCTTCAAGATCGTTATCTACAAAATTATTTGAAAAAGGGATTAAAGTGGCTCATGGAACTATTTGCAACCATCTGAAACACTTAGGGTATAAAAAAAAACGGGCAGAGGCGACTCCAATGCCAACTGAAAAGCGCAAAATAAACCGTGTTAAGTGGGCAAAAGAGCACATCGACAATTAGAAACAAACAGTTTTTTTCGACGAGGCATGTTTTCAGTTGTTTAGGAATGCTATTCAATATTGGCATAGAGGTAAACGAATCCCTAAAAATAGACAAAAGATTTGCGCTTGGGATGCATTCTGGGCAGGAGGTAAAACGAAACTTTATTGTTTCCAGCGAATAATGGATGGTCCCGAAATTTTAAAAATTATTATTCCTAAGATTAAAAAACAGCTTGGTGATCATTGGAGGTTTCAGCAGGACAACTATCCCAAGCACCAAAGTAAAGTAGCGAAAAAATATCTTCAAAACGAAAATTGAGTAGCCTTCGAATATCCCCAACCTGAATCCTATCGAAAATATATGGAAAATCATCAAAGATAATGTAGAAAGGCGACAGCCAGAAAATTGGATGAATTAAAGCGATTTATGGTGGAGGAATGAGATAAAATCCCAGATAGTTTCATAATAAACTACATAAACTCTATGAATGAACGGTGTAAGCAAAACGGAGAACGTATCCATTACTAAAATTTTTTAAATAAATTTGTGACTATTCGGTCTTCTATTAATTGACTTCGCACACGATTTTGTATAACCGTTGTCATATATGAGTTTATCCAAAAACCTTTTAATATACTGTATAAGTGAATATATTATTATTATTGATTAATTACAATATAATAATAATATACAATATACAGTATATGAAAATACAGTATATTTCTTTTCTTTTTTTTTTTAACCCGCAATTATGCCATCCTGACATATCTTATTATATTGATGGTAATTAACTTGTTTTTTTTTTTTTAAACCCTCTGTCAGGTTAGAGTACAGTATGTGTGCTTTATTAAACATATGTATACTTTACATTAATAATGTATCACTAAAGTTAAGTCTTTACTACCTAACTCACTCATCTCTATTTTAAGAATTATTAAAACTCTAAGTGCAACTTCAGGAGTAATTTATCACTCCATTAGCAGTTCAGGTAAAGACCCTTCCAATTGTTAACTTCATTGTCTGCAGGTCACTACTGCAGATTACTCTGAGATTCTGATAGAGCTTAAAATTCAACCATTTCATTTCATACTATATTCTTCTTGTTAAAATTTCTTAGAAATTTTCATTTTCAAGATTTTCATCTTCAAGTAGTGATCACAATGGATTGAATCGAATCAGATTATAATTAGATTCGATCTGATCCAGATTTTATAAATATGAATCAGATATGGATCCGATTCGTTTTAAATTGATCCGATTCAATTTGAAACTATAACAGTTTGATCTGATTCGATTCGAATCTGAATTTGGTTTGATTTGATTTGATTCGATCCATTCTGAATCCAAATCCGATTTGGATTTGATGCAAAAACAATTTGAAACTGATTTGATACATTTTGATTCTTTTTAATGCATGTCAACTATAACTGCTTTGATTTAACCAATTAAATTAAATATGTTTAAATTAACCTGGCTTTACTTTAATAAAAAAAATTTTAACTAGTATATTTTCTTCGGAATTATTTTTTGATTTTAAATTTAAAAATTTTTCTTTTATTAAATTTAAATAAATTTATTTATATAACCCATGGTCGTTCACTTGCTTCTATATTAATATACTCTCCTCTATAGCCAGTACTCTCTAAAATAACTTGATTTTCTGTATTATTTTTTTCTTTATTTTTTATTATCAATGTTTCAAATGCTTACAAAGCATATTGATCAGTCGATAATTAATTATATCAGTAATCCATATAATATGCTTCTTCTTTACCTTCTCTCTATTTGTTTATAGTTGATACTATTTTTTTGGTCAAATTTTGGAACAACCCATAAGTTATACCTTCTATCAATAATACTGTAGTACTATGCAATTCATTCTCTAATTAGCAATAAAGAGTATTCCCTAGTAAAAATTGTGGCAATTTTAATTTGTTAATAACTTAAATTTTTAAAATTTACAATGTTTAAAAAATACCTGTCATTTTAACTTTAATTCCCCATTTAATTATGTAAAAGTTGTTTCTATTAAAATTCCCTTCACTGCAAGCAAATTCTTTATCATTAACAGGTCGTATTTCTCTCAGGCAAGTAACTGCAATTGCATGATTCAAAAAATTAAGGTCAGTGTGAACAAATTTGCTATATATTCAGGTTACATAGGCCTCACATAGACCTAAAGAATGGTTTAAATATATTTTTTTATTACCAAAAAAAACTGTAATTCTCTTGTCGGTAGCATTATATTTGTTGCCATTTAGCTGGGATAGATCATATTTTTCTATTTTTTTTTGTATACTTGAGGTCACATCTTCAGGAAATCTGCTGTATATGGCATAGTTAAAAAGAAAACTATTTATTGCTACAACTTTCTTTTCTTGCAAATATTGCTTTTTGAACTCTTGTAATTCAATAGGTATATTATGCACATGAAAAAATATTCCACTTTCTCTTATTGAAAGATACCTGTAAACATTAATATTAATAAAGTTTTAAAAATTAAAAACTTAAATTTAGTTAAATATATATCCTGCAGCTATTAAGACACCTTGATTCAATTCTTTGATTTCTGACGATCGGACAATTTGTTGGTGCAAAACAAACATATTGATAATCATGCTTTTCATGAGTTCAAGTACATCAGAACTAATATAATTTTGATATACAGCCAGTATCATCTTGTTAAAGGCTCTATCACAAACTATTATTTCTTTATTTTTTTTTTTTTATTATTAGAAAACAAGAGGTAATATTGATTGTAGGTACATAGGAAGGCAAGGGGTTTGTTTTTTCAAATATCTACTTTTTTTTTATTTTTTTTTAATAATATTCAGGAAGGAGGTTAAAATATATCATTTTTACTGCATATACCTCCTTAAGATACTTTTGAGTCAATAAATTTTCCCTGATTTATAATTTAGTTAAGTTAATACAGTTACAAAAAAAATTGTAAAAATTTTAACTTACAAAATTTTTATGAATCTTTTATTTGGATTTTTTTGCATTATCAATATCAGCCATCAAAATAACAGCAGCATTTTTCAAGTCATTATCACAAGTAAACAAGAATTTCGAAAAATTCCTCCATCAGTTAATCTGGTATTGTTTTTTTTTTTTTTTTTTTTTTTAATACCCGTGGTCAGGCCAGTATTGTGTGTTTATTAATCATTAAGAAAACCGATAGGGATATATAAAGCAATTACATCATGGCTAAACTAAGACTCGTACTGACATACTCATCAATGGTTTTCAATTCTCAAAAGAACTTTAGCCTCTAAGTGCAACCTTGGGGACAATATTTCACTTCGAACTAAGTTTTGGGTGAAGACCCTCCTAACTTACCCATCATTGCCAGCAGGTTGTCACTACTTATTATCCCCCAAGGAACTGAATTTGAGAAACTACAAAAGGGAAAAGAAAAAATAAAAGGAAGGGCAATATCTAAAAATGCACAAATGTGCTACATAAAAATGAAAAAAAAAAATAAAAAATAAAAGTGCTCCATGTCCTCTAAAGGACCTCTGTTAGAAACCTCTTCTCATTAGAAGTCAACTCTTCTGGAATATCCTTCTGTTTTCTAACCATCTGAGAAACTTATCCATCCATGCTCTTGATTATTTTCGTGTGACCCTCTGAGGTACTTATCACCTACTCAGATCCAGTGTTTTGTTCAATGCTTCCTTTTTTTTAGTCTTGATTTTGTATCCACCTGTGCAGAATAAGATGACTAATGGTGGACCCCAGGTTCTTATGTAACTTTTCAATCTTGTTGGATAACTTCCGATATCTTCTAGCAGTTATACCTAGTTAAAGAAATTTTACTGGTGTTTATCTTAATTGCGATATCATTACTCAACATCTGGAGAAATGCATTCTCAATCCTAAAGAAGGGTAGTGTTTTACATTCCTCTGCTTTTCGGTCTTACAGCCTAACTGGAATAAGAAAATAACCTTCTTCGTGTACTTTGCTTGACTAAAATGATAAGAAGTTGAAGGCCTCAGCTTG